CGCACTGTTTTCCCGCATTGTCCTCTTTCATCCTTATCCGTTTCCTATCACATAGACAAACAGATATACACGGTGCTCCTTCTCTCTCCTTGTTCGTGCTCCAAGACACTCGCGCATGCGGCATATATACACCGTTCGCTAATGGATATTGCTCTTACTCTTACCCTTGCCTGAAGCCAACCGGCGAGGCCGGGAGCCACCGGAGTTAGAGCTAGAGCCGGTGCCGGCGTTTCGGATAAATTAGAAAAGCCCGCGACCCGTTTCCCCCTCTCTTTTTTTCCCTCGAATCACCATTCCGCTTTTCCGCGCGCACGGCGGAAGGTATTTGCATGACAAACGATGCGCGTATTTCCGGCGTCCAATTTGCACACGACTCTCTCTCTCTGTTTCGCGGCTATGTTCGAGCAATCTCTCTGATATCACGCGGTTATATACTTTATTGGCCGCTCTATACGGAAACGTATGTACGTACATTCGTCACGCGTACGACTCGCTAGCAATGTGCTCTTTTACACGACTGATTATGAATAACTTCGGTCAACTGAAATATGGTTCATTGCGTCGTTACGAGCGGATAACTTTACCAACTGTTTGATATTCACAGAATATATAATTTATTTCATAATTTATTAGTTACCTCAAAAAAGTAATATTCAAATATCGGAAAAATATCATTAACGTTCGTAAAATTAATTAACGTTCTTAAAAATAATTTTCTCTCATATCGAGTGAACCGCATATCCATAGAGAAACATACAAGATTAAAATATATTGTGAAACATATTTGCAGCCATAGTAACTATCATTGCATTCGTTTTCAGTACCGATTAATCGATTCTTTCGCCGACAAAAGCAGCCGGAGCACGCTTCTTCCTGCTAATTTACTCACTCGGCTCGTTGATTTATATCGCGGGCATTGTTGTGGATGCCGCGGTAAAGTTTTAATTATATTCCCGGCCGAAGATACGCATCGGACCGTAACCGATGCGAAGAAGAAAGCCCTCGCAGTCCGGCAGGGTTGGCTCGCGCGCGTCTTCTCGCTGCTGCTTATCCCCAAGACACGAAAATTAAATTTGCTCTACCGTGCGTATCAGTGCACGCTCTCGCAGCCGTCAATATTAATCTTATGGAATACGCCTGCGGAATTCCGAAGGGAGAGAGTATCGTAGATGCAAGTTTTTGCCGGACGGAATTTCGCCAGGAATATTAAATCGATCGTGACGACACTCATCCGTTTCGTATAATTAAAGAGAATTGTTCTTCAAGAAATAAAAATGATTAATCTACAGTTTAATATTCAGATAAATTAGCCTTACAAAATTGAATTAAACGTGCTTCTTATTTATAGAAGATTTCTTTTGAAATAGAATATTTTTAATAAGAAAGAAACGTAATCACACATCATTGATGTTAAGATAAAAAATTTTTTAACATGTATTACTATTCTAGATAATAATATTTCATATATAATTTTGCAATAAAAAATCGATTACTTAATTTATTATACTTGGATTATCTAAAAAATTTCAAGTCGCAGGTCTTTTTAGATACATCTTAAAAATACAAAAAATAATTCAGAATCCTCCTTACGTTTGTCAAATCGATGGAAGTTGAAATAGAAGCAGATGTTATAAAATGAAATTTTTACGGGAACATATTATTGTGAGAGGGAAGTTTCAGCTGCTGCCTTTTTCTTGAAGACTTGCTGGAGACTTCCGTCTTTCTCTGGAGTATCAAGTCGAAAGTTTCGGAACGTCCGCGTCGAAGATTAACACAAATAATAGCCGCTTATTGGTATCGTCGAGTGTATGCCAGAGTACGAGTCCCTGTTGACCGCTACTTTCCGCCGCGGTAGAACTTTAAGAGTATCCTGACGGAAACGAGAAAGAAGTACGAAGTCCAATCGAGCAACTCGTTACTCAAGATCGAAGACGAAGAGATCGACCAACCGGAACTCCGTCTATTGCTATTCAACGCGCGCCGTATCGACCTAAATGCAAAGGTGTATTTGGCCAAACTTTCTGCGGATACTTTTCCAAGAGCTAATTTGAAGAGAATTATAAACATTCGCGTAACTCTTCATGATTTTATTATTCACTTTAACTTGACATATACGAGAAGATTTTTATTCTCGAGCTAAAAGTACAAAGATCAATATAACCTGTATAAATAGATATTGTATATCTGTAGAATCTCATTACAACCAATTTTAACGAGCTTTTAAATCAAGTTTATTACGTTACTTTGTTCCCACCATCAAATTACGTGTATTAGCTATTAATCGACAAATTAAATTTGTGATGTGAATTCTATTTTTGTTATAAAACATAAAAGTTATTTTCAAAAACTACAGCGACGATAAATTACAATCATCAAGACTTTGCAAACAAAAATTATATTATAAGAGTTTGAGGATAATATTAAAATTCCCTTCACGGAGATAAAAAGATTATTCATCTATAGGTAAAAAGGTTATTCATCTATTATTCATCAGAACATTACGACGATCATGAAACGCAAAACGTGAAAGATACGAAAGAGCAAACGATCAGCTTCTATGGCACGGAAATCGGTGGCAGTCGGTGGATTAAATCCGAGTAGTAACTTCCGCTACTTATTGTCCACATAGCAGCAACAGGTAGTGGACTCGGTCGAGGTCCCACCGCTTCCTTCATTTCACAAATTCCCGGCCGTCTATTTCGCGCTGCAAAATGAATGCGCATCCCGGCATACCGAAGCGTGAACAAGGGTTCGCGAAGAAAAACGGAAACTTGCCGCGCACGTCCCGACTTCCGCGCTGAAACATCCCCGATGGCCCCGAAAAGGCTGGCTCAACGAGAGAAACTTTCGAATTCCCTCAGGAGGTTTCACTAACGAAACAGTCCCGCCGAAGAAATACTCGGCTGTGTAACTTTTGTGGAAGGTATCTGGTTCGAAGATAAAAGAAAATGATCAGATCACTTATAGACGTCATATTTGATCAAAAGTTCATCATATATGAATCACTCATTTGAAATATAATATCTCAGCAAGTTTTCAGGTGGAAGCAACTAAAACTTCTCATAATAATTTATTAACTTTAAATAATTTACGTAAAAAGGAAAGTCTCTTATAGCGTTTTTCTTTGGCAGAACTGGTGCACACTCAGTGCACATTAAAGCCGTTGTACACAAATCAACGTAATGTGTATGTTTAATATAAACGGGTTAAATCATGAAATCCTCAATATTCTTTATTGCACTATTTGGTAAAATATGTACTGGGTATTTTATCAGTCAAAATATTTGCATTTTACTTTAAATATTAGAGATTAAATCAGTGTACAACGGCTTTAATGTGCACTGAGTGCGCACCAGTTCTGCCAATGAAAAACGCTATTAAAAAGACTGATTTCTGCCCAAAAGGTGTAAATAAAAGATATTATGGAGGAGTGTTTTTTGTAGTGTGACACACTCTAAGTAGAAATCGACTTTTTTAGATATCCTTTTTTCATATTGTCCTATATCCACTTTTATTTTAACTTCCATCACATAATATATATGTGCGCGTGGATTTTTTTTTTTTCATCCCTTGGGTCAAAGTATCAATTCGATACACCTACATTAACTACGATGTTTCTAAAATATTGAATAAAAAAGGTTTCTCCAAAATCTAAGATTAAAAATTATTAATATTTGATGCTGCAGTGATGTGATATATTAACCGCCATTTTCTATGTGAATGCACTTATTAAATATATGCTAATGAATATTATTCCGCGAGCGAATATTGCGAATTATTCGAAGGTATAATGGAATTCTCGTCGCCAAGCGTATCGCCATAATAATGACAAAGCCTCGTCGCGATGTCCCGGTGCCAGGATTTGCAAGCTGCTTCAACGAACGTTATTCAACAACACCGCGATTATTCTAATGAGATTCGGGATCTCGCGTGCGGAATAGCGGCCGACGAGAGACCGAAGGAGAGTCGAGGCGTTGAAACTTTATAGCCCGATCAGATTTCAAATATGATTAGCACTCGGTATTAGCCGCGGACACTGCTTCGTCTATTAACGCGCGACTGTATCGAGTAAGATGTAAATGCCTCTTTTTGCTACGATCTAATTTCGCCATTAAAGTGCCGTTTTATTCTCGATTGATAACGTTGAATTTATTCCGTGCGTCACACATTATTCCAACTATTCATATTATGTGATAATGCCCGCGGTTACCGCTTCACGATACAATTATTCGTGCATGGCGTGCGATTGTCGTTAGTACAATTGTTTACGCAATAACATATGTTAAACCGACATCATTATTCCTCATTAACTGTACAGTGTTGTGAATTTTGAGATCAAAGCTCTCCATAATTTTGGACAATCTTTTTCATAAAGATCATTATAAAATTACGTATAAGCATTTTTTTATACAAATATGTGTTTCTGTAGCAAAAGTACGTGGTAGAAACAAAATATTATTTGCTTAAAATAATTATAAATTCTCTATGCTACAATATAATTAATAAAAATGTTCAATAATAATTATAAATATAACATTATACTAATCTTTTTTTCTCTTCCTTTTCTTCGTATAATGTATATTTTTAGATGTTTTCAAAAGGAACGCGCAGGCTATCGATAAAGATAAACAGGGAAATAGCATCGAATCAGCCTTGCGTAGATCAACAAATCAGATTGAACCCTGCTGAATATGAATGGACTGCCCGCAGGGCCAACGTCAAACGTTCAGCGAGGACACGCCGTCCTTCTATAGGCTCTACTAATATTCCTAAGTGCATCATCAGCCGCTTGGTACAATGTTGCACGAGTTCTGATACGATGCAAGCCATGCACTAACCACTTCCCACCCACCAATCCTTTTCTCCCTCTCTCATCACTTGGCCTTCAATTCCTCTCGCGCGGACATGATCCCCACTTCCCATGATTACTTGCGATTTTAGCCTGGACACAAAAATTGCGCCGCATTATTGTAGTCGTAATCTCTGCAATAATAGCGACGTGAAGAATAACGTGCGTTTATTCTCTTTTGCTCTCTTTCTCTATTTTTCTGTGCTTTCTCTATAAATCGTGAATCAATAGTAAAAGAGAAAAGGGATCAAAGAATAAAGATATGACGAGTCCGGAAAATGGATATCGAACCATTAGACACTCTTGAAAGCGCGCAGACTAACTCGCTCGTCCTCCTTTAAGTTTCACTCGTGTTCTTTCGTATATCCTTTCTCGAGAGCATCGCAAAAATTTTGTGACTTTGTGACTACGAATCAACGTTGGTAGCCTGCTGTCTCGCGCTTGTGTGGCAGCAAAACATCGAACAGGTGTCATCATCAAGCTTAGTATTTTTCGCCTCAAGATCAATGTCTTTTGTAACGAAGCACGATGATACAATATATTGCACACTATGAAATAATTCCTAATACACATTTGCATGTATAAGTATATACCGTCAACCATAATTTTTATTTCAAGAACTTTTTTCACTTCTCCGCCATTATTTTGGCGGATCAGTTTAGCCCCCTGGGAAGTTCCGTGTGTACTCCTAATTATCATTGAGGGATTTAACAAGGACAATTCCGCCACAGGTGAGCCGGGCCGTGAGCCCGGCGATGACGCGAAGGAACGAAGGGGGAACCAGAAGAGCGGAGCAGGTGGATTGCTCGCCGAGGTTATGCAAGACATTCAGACTCTATCCGCGATGGCAGAGACTGAGGTGGCATTTAAGGATTACCGGAGTTTAGCATAATATCAGCAGAAGTGGGAAGAGGACAACAAGCAAGCGTCGTTGTCGGGGCGATGAGAGGGCGACGGATGACGGTGGAAGATGAAGCCCGCGAAGAGGAATGCGCCCGAGGAAGGGGCACAGGTATTATTCATGGATTACCTCACTTGTCTCGGCTACAATCCTCCCAAAGCCTCCATTAGAATAATTGCTTCTTCATCTTCGCGCTTACGCGATTGCTACCGCCTACCGCGTCCCTCGATCCGTTCTTCCTTCAGAAATTCACCGACTTTGCCATCAGCAACATGTCGCCACGCTTCCATATACGCACGCATCGGTTTTTCTCCCCATTGTCTGTTTACTTTGACTTGACACGAAGAGAAGCGTGTCATATCTCGAGAAGATTTGTCGTCGAGAAAACATATATCAGGCATAGATGCAGCCTCTTATCCAAATAAAGATGTAATCAAATAATCCCGAGTTAATTTTGGACAGAGAAATCAAATAAACGAAACAAATAAATTATTCTTGAATCAATGGAGATATTATGGATCCTCTTTCGTATGCATATTTCGCATTTAGCGTTACAACGAAATATTGTAGCTTTAATTTATTGAGCAATATCATGGCACGTAATATTAAGTATTATAGAGCTGAATTTTGTGTAAATATAACACAAACATTTTTTCCACTCATTCTACGCTTTCTTAAGTATAAAACATATCGTACTACGAACTTTTAGATTTTTGTATTTCGCAACGTCCAGTTACACTCTGGTCTGCACGCAAATTCTACACTGCGAAGAAAAAACTGCAATATACATCCCGGTTACGGAAGTACAAGTGGCAGACCATTAGCCAGGGAGGAAGTCTTTTAAGAACAAGGAAGAGAGTGCTGAGCGATCCCTTGAAGTTGCAGAAGTGCGAGCGAGAAGTTGTCAGCAGACTGCTGCTCGAGAACTTTGTGTTCGTCGACTATTCACGATTCTACCTTTTAAACCTTTCGCTACTCAAGTAACGATTGTAGTCAGCATCAGTCAAATGCTGAACCGACTATTATAGTTTGCCAAGCAAAATGATCAACTAAATTTATTTCCAACGAGCATTATAATGTCAGCTTTCCTTCTTCTTTACTTTTAATTTTTAGAATTCTGAATATTTTTGTTTTTTATTTCATGCTAAAAAAACGAAGTAAAAAATACATTTATAGAAAGAGTAAAAATGTGCAAGTTTTGTTCGTGCCGTAAACCTCGATAATAAATATACAATCGCCTAACAGAATAATAATAAGCTTCTTAAAATATGTAGATAATTACATATTATAAGAAATATCTAATTTTATCCTTAGATTTCAGTAATTATTATCTGTATAATGCTATCTGCGTAAGATAGCAAGACATATATAAGATTCCACGCCGTCGTATGTAACGTAAAAGTAGTCTTTCTCGCAATAACGTGCAACCGCAAGTCACGGTGAGCATCTAACACCCGCGCCAACTGCGGCGCGCAAGAGGGAACGATTAATGCCCCTTAAATTAATTGTAATTCCACGTGAAGGAGCGCGGCAAGTAGAACCGCAACGACAAGGCAACGTGTTCGAGGTATCGACAATCGATGTGTAAACGGAGAGACTGGAGGCAGGCTCAAGGAATCGTCGCACGTATACCCGGTAATGCGAGATGAAACGGTAACGAGCGCGGCTCACCGCGGTAACTAAATATTCGCGGGCAGACGTGTTGAGATAACGTTGATGGTCGGGGAGGGGAAAAAAAAGGAAGAACTTGTCGCCGGAGTCCCCGGACGCGAAACAGGTCGTCCGTCCCTTCCAACCTTCCCGCATCTAGCATCCGCCACCCCCGTCGCCGTCGCGGGCGCGAGGGTGCCTCGTTGCCGCTACACCGGAGACAATTTATTCTCACGGTCTCGCGCGCAATTTGCTCCCGCAACTCCCCGGTCCCCTCCGCCCTTCCCCATCGAGCTTGTAACGAGGATAACGAGAATCATCGAATGAGAACTCACCGTCGCGGCCTGAAATCGCATTTCACGCGACATTTGCCGCGCGGCATCATACCGTGTAGCGCGCCGATCTTCGATCTCGCAGATGCATCGCCGCCGCCAGCGCACGAGGGGAATTTTATTTAATTCCAAAATTTATTTAATTCTTCGTCTCTCGCGCTATTCGATCCGCGCGCGTGAGCGCGTCGTACTATCGCGGTACCTTCTTTCGGTAAACACTCACGTCGAAGACTCGCTACGAAATATCGGATGAACGAATTGTGGTAATTTGAATACTGGAGAATTCAACAAGAATTTCGAGTTTGCATTCGCAAGTACCGTATTCTTAATCTAGGTCGATATTGTAAGATACTTTGTATTTAATATTCAATTGTAGTATTTTAAAGTAGATGCTGTGTGTGGGTGTATTAATGTTTTTTTCCTTTGCTTAATAGTATTGTCTGAACTGTTTAAAAATCCTTGAGAATAATATATTATTCTAGATAGTTTTTATTCTAAGTGTATTAATTAATGAACTAATATCTGGAACAATAATGTTGAATGCCATTATATTTTCCACCTAAATTTTTCAAAGAAGAAATTAACTTAAATTTTTTTTCAAACTTTACGAGGGATCTAGACTTCATACATAATTAAATTTTTATACGGTTTACAAAGCAATTTGACAAAAACATTCGACTTCTTTTCCTTAAAATAAAGTATCCTTGAATCCCCGATCAGCTTCGATCGCAGCAACACGCAGAATGTATATCCAATATCAGATTTTTGAAAAAGCGACCGCGAACGACCGCTACCGAGTAGCACTCGTTGCATTATACTTGCCGTTCGTTAAGTGCATGAAAGCTTTTTTTCGAGTGTTTAATACAACCTCGCGGTTTATAGCGACGCGTCATTATGCTCGCGGGGACACAAGGGTGTCGCAGCTTAAAGTGTCTCTACTTTGGTGTTGCACGAAAAACGCGCCAGCCTAACCTTTTATGGATTCTTTGTGGCGGCGCGATTATACCAGGTGTCCCCGATTCGTCGCGTTCTCGCTCGCGAATTCGTGCCTTCGCAAGCGCACGGTGTTAAATTATTCAATCATTACGTATTTATCACACTTTCAGATTCTGAAATAATCTCGTTAAAGTTAATTACCTCTTGAAGCACTTGAATATTTTGGCATTCATAGACTTATTATATTAGCATTTTCAAATTCTGGAGTCTTTCAATAACGTGTGTGTAAATGTATTAAAATTGTATATAATCTTTAATCTCTACTTCGAACACTTTAAATTTCCTTTAGATCCTGTTCATCCACTTTTACCAATGTAGATTAACTTTAATTTCAGTTTAATTTATCCTTTTTATCCTTTTTTAGTTCTAAAAATTAGAAAAAGATAAAAAGTAAGTTAAATCCAAAGTTACTCTACATAAGTAGAAATTGACATAAGACTCTCATCATCACGAATTACACGCTATAGTTTTTTTTTTACATGATTTAGGGCCGGTTGTTCCAACCTGTTAGTAAGCTAACTAATAGTTAAATCATATGTCTATCTTTGTCTAATGTAAAAGATAAACAAAGATATATATTATGATTTAACTGTTAGTTAGTTTACCAACAGGTTGGAATATTTCACAACCAGCCCTTAACTTGTTCGCGCGGAACGTAGGCGCAACGAAAAATCCGTTCGATCGAAGACACCGTGTATATACCAGACGCCTCTACGGCCACGTACGCGTTCGTATTCATACGCCTCATCCTCCTACCCCCCGAAACTCAAGGAAAAGGAGTATATGAAGATTTTATATAGAATATAGCATATATTCATGCGCAATAACCAACCATAACCGCGATCATAATTCTCGAGTCGACAATTTACTGAATAGTGAAACAAATTATTTCGCAGCAATTGAGGACGCCACATATAAAGTACCCTATCGCAAGCAAAACGCTTAAAGAAAAATTCTGTGAAATATTCCTCACCCCAAAAGCTGCGCCCGACGAACGTGCTGTCCCGATTTCGTCTCTCGTCCTCCGTCCTTTGTCCTTCGTCCTTCATCCTTCGTCCTGACGCGCTTCCACGACGTGCTGAAAATTATTTGTATTTAGTCAGCTTTTCATATAATTTTACTTAACTCGAATAGGAACGTTTACCTAGCGTGCAACGAAATTTCTCGGCGACATAACATTCTTACCTTTTTCCTACGAAAGTCTGAAACGTGAAAGAACGTCGCGGAGATCCTCTCCTTCCGTAGGCGGCACGTTAATTACCACGATCGCGATTGATGAAGAACGACGCGAAAAACTGACGCGCTCTTCGAGACGCTCATTCGACATTTGCACGCATTGCGTTCGAATACCAAATGGCGCCTTTTGCGCGGCTAATTTCGCGACGCCTGGCGACATCTCGCGACACTGTTCTCTACTATCGTTTTCTACTAATCGATCATCTACATGCGGTAACGCATGATTCGCATGGTTATGCATAATTTACCGAGATAAATTACAAACGTTTATAAAATACTCACACGCCAAATTCACTTTTGCTGCATTTCAGCGAGAAAATAACGGCGTGAAATATGCCATAAAGAAACAAATCGCGAGCAATTTAAAAAATAAATTCAGTAGGTTACTTATATTAAAACGAAAATTGAATCACGATTCCAGGATTGGGATTGAAACTTAATCAATTAGAATAAATAAGAAAAACTAATACTCATTTTAATGAAATTTCAATCCGATCTCAATCCCAATCAATCGTAGGTAGTTTGATATACGAGCTTTACCGAAATCGCGACGTTGACACGTAGAGTATATATAACGTACGTTTGTGCGCGATGCTCAACACGACGAACGTTCGAGGTACGATTTCTTACGCGGGATTGGCGTTTAGGTAATGATTCACAAATGAATCACAAAAATTCGGAGCGATCGGACACAACTCCACAATCGGTTGCAGCTCGTGCCATAAGTTATAACGTTATAACTGAATATACGAAGGCTATATTGAAGCGCGCAATATCGTGATTTTCGAAGTATCGAAACGGTCGAAACTGCGGTACATACCAATCGCGGTCAATTCGGGTCCGTTCGTTTAATGTCCTATACACACCAATAGGACATATATTAGGAATAATAATAAATATCAAATATTAGAAATCGGAATTAGAAATAAATAATTAAACGTAATGCAGTACAATGGAAAAGAATAAAATATAAGGTATAATATTCCTACATTTGCATATCCTAATATTACAGAAATATTCCTATATTTATATATTCTAATATTTCATATTTATTCTTATTTCTAAATATATACTTAAATATATGCTCTATTGCGCGCAAGGGGTTTAGGCCTTGTGTACACGATGCTAGAAATCGCTCCGATATCTCGAACGGAGAAAGAATTAACCAATGGCATTGGCCAAATTGTTTAAAGATGATTGGTCAATTCTTTCGCCGTCCGAAATCTCGGAGCGATTTCTAGGGCCGGTCTCACAGTCTCCGATTAACGTGATTCTCCGATTAAACTCACTCTGCATCTTTTTCTAACTATCCCCCTAGAAAGAGACGAAGAGTGAGTTTAATCGGAGACTGTGAGACCGGCCCCTAGCTGTGGATACAAGGCTTTACACTTTTTGCACTTGGAATCTTCGCTTTCTCTCTTTCTCTCTCTCTCAACGTCCGAATTCCGAATATATATTTATCTCATTTTAGGTGCAAGAACTTTTAGGGATTTCAAGTAACTAACACGAACAAACCTGTCACCTATCACCAGTGATCACCAGGGTTGCGTTCCAAAATTCACTCTGAGTAACTAAAATCTATAGTTTACGTCACGTATACACTATAGCATTTTAGTTAACTAGAGTGAATTTTGGAACGCAGCCCAGTGCTTATGGTTCGTACGGTTCGTACAATGGAGATGAATGGATTGTCGTCTGCCATAACATAACCTTGACAAGTTCTTGGGCGCGATATTAAACAAGTGGAGCAATTCGTCAAACGATTTTTTCACCTGAGACATCTAATCAAGGTTTATAAAATAATTGGTATCTATTTAGAAACGATAACCTCCTGTTTGCTCAATCGTGACATTATTTCAGAAGTAACATTCGATCGTACGAATGTCGCAATATGCGAATTGTCTTGTGAATTTAATAGCATTTCAATTTGGAATATTTCATTTTTCGAGAGAAAACGGGAGGGGTTACCAATCTTTTTCGTATTTACAGATTATCTTACGATGTCCGAGAACGCGACTGAAGGGGTGACGGCTGAGAAAGAAGCCGCCGCCGCCGCCACCGAAGACCCGAATGCCGTCTCGGAAGAGGACCGGCAATTCTTGACAGAGCACGTGCGCGAAACGGAACAGAGACTCGCGACAAAGGAAGAGATTCGGGCGGCCAATCTGAATCCCACGAGACCTCCGGACGCGTCATTCAGTAAACTCGACTCGAGCCTCAAGAGGAACACTACGTTTGTCAAGAAACTGAAGAACTTCAGCGTGACTCAGCTCGACACGGTTCTGAAGGATATGGCGAATTTAAACCTGACCAAATACGTGAGCGAGGTTGCCACTGCTCTGGTAGATGCCAAAATAAAGATGACCGACGTTGCGCCTGCTATTAGAGTGTGCAGCTTCCTCCATCAGACGTACGCCGAGTTCTCCACTCATTTCTTCGAAAATTGGCAAAGGATCCTGTCGTTCAAGATCGGCGACAAGATCGCGAATCCCAGCAAGCTGAGAGTAGATCTGCGATTCTACGCGGAATTGGTGAACGCTGGGATATTCACGCACAAGCAGGGCCTGTCGCTGCTTGGCTCGGTGTTAACTGTGTTGATCAATATGGACAAAGAGGAGCACAATAACGCCAGTATAATATTGAGTTTCTGCCGGCACTGCGGCGAGGATTATGCCGGTCTTGTACCTAAAAGAGTGCGAGAGCTGTCGGAGAAATTAAATGTTTCGATTCCAAAGAGTAAATTGTTGTCGCCGGACAAGCAGCAAAACGTGAGACTGCTGCTACGCGACTATTACAATTCCTTGTGCAAACATATGTTAAAGGAACACAAGGAGCTGCAGGCGTTTGAGAAACAGAATCGCAAGATACTGCAAACCAGAGGAGAATTGAGCTCGGAACGAAAGGAAAAGCTGGAAGCTCTGCAGGTTTCTTACGAGCGTCTATTAACCAGCGTGCAGAGCTTCTCCGATACGTTAGACGAGCCGATGCCCGAGCTTCCGGTGGACAACGAGATGAAAACGGAAGCGGAAGATAGCCTGAAGATGATCAACGACGGAGAGGACAGCAGCATGTTGGAGGATATGTGGGGTGACGAAGAGACGAGACGTTTCTACGAAGTGTTACCGGATCTGACTGTCTTCCTACCAGGCTCGTATTTGAAGGACACCCCGAAAGATAGCGCAAAAACGGAAACGGCAATAACGGAAGACGCTCTTGACGAAGAAATTGTTTTCGACGAGCTGGAAGAGACCGAGAAGATCGAGGAGCCGCCGGAGGTGGAGGTGGAGGAGCCACAGGTGTCCAACACGAGCAACAAAATATTGCTCGACGCTTTCCTGACACATCTGCCAAATTGCGTAAATCGCGAGATGATCGACAACGCCGCGGTGAACTTCCTGATGAATCTCAACACGAAGCACAACAAGAAGAAGCTGGTAAAAGCTCTTTTCGGTGTTTCTAGAATTCGTCAGGATTTGCTACCCTTCTACTCCCGTTTAGCAGCTATTCTTTATCCAGTAATGCCCGAGATTGGCAATGACCTGTGCCAGATGCTGAAGCAGGACTTTAAATACCACGTGCGCAAGAAGGATCAGATTAACATCGAGTCGAAGATCAAGGTGGTTCGCTATATCGGTGAGCTCGTCAAATTTAAGCTCTACTCCAAAATAGAGGCGTTGTACTGCCTGAAGGTTTTACTGCATGACTTTACACACCATCATATCGAAATGGCTTGCAACCTGTTGGAGATTTGCGGCCGATATCTCTTCTGTTCGCCAGATTCTCATCAAAGGACCAAGGTCTACCTAGAGCAGATGATGCGTAAAAAAGCGGTCACTGCACTCGATTCGCGCTACGTCACGATCATCGAGAACGCGTATTACTTCGTGAACCCACCCGAATCGACCGGCGGCGTCACGAAGAAGGACAGACCACCTGTACATGAATTTATTAGGAAACTACTTTATCAGGATCTCTCCAAGACGAATACTGACAAGGTGCTTAAGTGGATGCGTAAACTTGACTGGGAAGATGAGAGCGTGTCGACCTACGCCATAAAATGTCTCACTGCCGCCTACAACGTTAAGTATCCTAATATTCGATGCGTGGGAAGCCTATTGGCCGGTTTGGTAGCCCATTACGAGACCATCGGGCCTCAGGTGGTCGACGGTGTGTTCGAAGACATACGACTGTGTATGGAGATCAACCTGCCGAAATACAATCAGCGACGCATTGCCATGGTCAAGTACTTGGGCGAGCTGTACAATTATCGAATGGTGGAGAGCGGCGACATTTTCCGTACTTTGTATTTGCTTATCACCTTCGGCGTCAGCACGGACCACTCAGTGCCAAGCGTTCTCGACCCGCCTGATCATCTCTTTCGTATTCGTTTAGTGTGCACATTATTGGAGACTTGCGGCCAGTACTTTAGCGGCGGATCCAGCAAGAAAAAGCTCGATTATTTCCTTGTATTTTTCCAGAACTACTTCTGGTTCAAGTACACGGATCCGGTTTGGACGTCCGAGAATCCATTCCCCGTTGGGATAGATTACATGTATCGCGACACGTTAACGATGCTGCGACCTAAAATGCAATTGTTCCAGAGCTACAAAGAGGCGCAATGCGCCGTAGAAGAGTTGCGCAACACCCTCTACCCGACCTTGGGTAATCCTCCCGTTGACGATACCGCGGCAGAAGGCGAAAATGAGATGGGCGTTATTATGGAAGGCGACGAGGAAGCAGCGATGACCGGGAACGGTAGTGGAGATGCGAAGGGTATAGCCGAGCTGCATTTCGAGGAATCCGAGGATTGCTCGGAGGCGCAGTCGGAAGAGGAATGGACAGCCGATGCGGAACGCGACGACACCATGGGCACTCAAGAGAACACTCAGGGTGATCGATCTCAGAGTCTCTCGGCGGACGGTGGCACCGAGGGCGTGATCGTGGACGTGACGGAGGAACTGAACGCAGCTTTGCCAGCCGGGCCAAGACGCGTGAGCTGTCCGGAGGACGATGATTTCCTGTCGGCGCTGGATAAAATGGTCTCGGACAATATACAGGATCGTATGCGAGATTCGGTCAAACCGCAACAGGTAGACATCTCTGTGCCGTTGCACGTAAAGAGCACGAAGAAGACATATGAGCAACTGCAGGAGAGACCGACCGATAATAGCACAGTAGATTTTGTACTAATGTTAAGAAAGGGTAACAAACAGCAGTACAAGAATCTTGCGGTCCCGGTGTCGTCCGAGTTGGCTATGAATCTCAGGAATCGCGAACAGGAACAGAAGGAGGAGAAGGAGCGCGTGAAGAGACTGACTTTGAACATTACCGAGAGGCAAGAGGAGGAAGACTATCAAGAGACTATGAATCAAAGCACGAGACCGGTCACCGTAAACTTGAATAGGGAACGACGGCAAAAGTATAATCATCCTAAAGGAGCGCCCGATGCCGATCTCATCTTCGGACCGAAGAAAATTCGATAAACGAAAATTCTCGAATAATTATTTTAAAGTCGAACGGTTGCACGCCACTGGGAAATTGTTGATATGCATTTGTGAAGTGAAATTTCACGCTTCGGACTTGTCAAGTATATAGTTAACTAACTTTGACTATACGGTTAGTTTTACCGCTTTTTACTATAATGTTTCAGAGTTTCTTCGAGGACGAACGTTTCATGATGTATCGCACACATCAGAATTTGGACGAGTGTATTATATGTACAGATGATGCAAGTTAGCATTTGAACGAATCAGTTGTAAGACTGATACAATAAACCCTCGTTAAAGAAAAGTTAGGATAACTAACTTCGATATATAATATGTATGTATACATATATATTACAAATACATAAAATTTATTTTCCTGGCCAAAATGTATGTTTAAAATAGTCTATCAATATGGACTATTACAACGCACTGCCGATTTTTAACTACACGCAGGGTTTACTGTATCATACAAATGCATTTTTAATGCAACTAGATATACATTGATATATATATATATATATATATATATATATATATCATTTATCGTATACATGATACCTTTTGTGTGACGCGAATGTTAGACATTTTTACACAGACTTATAATCGATCATCATTTTGACTTTCAACGAAAGCTATGTTGTGATAGAATATACGATCAATTTATATACTTATCCGTGATATTTTTAACATAATTCCATACCTTATTTGAAAAATAATATTGTCTCTTCCTTTGCAGATCGCAAATGCCGAATGATATATAAGTGAAATTTGCAGGCTGTAATCAAACTTTCTATCGAAAGAACAAAACGAATAAAACAGAACTCAACACTTGATGTACAATTATTTATTTTTATCTAAGAAATTATCGCCATGTACAAAATGAATATAAATAAATGTTTTAGGTGCTTTAAACGTTTGATACGGCTCGGTAGTAAGTTTTGCAATAACGACGTCACGTATATCTACCGAAATACATATATGAAATTGATAAACATGTAAATTAACACTAAATGCACATCTCTGCACCTAATCACTGCCTCTTACGGATCTTCCTCCGCGTCTTCGAATTGACCTGCTTCGATGTCCATTGCTTCTTCTGCCTCCGCTCCTGTGTGAGTGGTCCCCATTTGCTCTGTTAATAATGAAATATTAGAAATCTATCATTCAGATACATTGACATCTAATTCTTTCTTCTGATGTCTCATTGTGGATCAAAAACCATATAACATTATAACATTAAATGTGTAGTACAAGCATTGCTCAATCTAAAGAAACTTGAACTTGAATAATATGAATAAAAATTAAGTATACCTGTCGGTAAAATACAAGGCGCATCTCCAGCGCCCACCTCTTCGTCATATTCACCCTCGTACTCTTCTTCAGCGTCTTCATAGATATCCTCTTTAAATACAACAGGAGTTTTTTAATTATCCCAATTAATTGTAAATAAGATAATTATCCCATTTGATTATTTACCGTCTGAAAAACTGTCCTGTGGGTCAGGATGAAGCGCTTGGCATGCATTCATTGCTTGAAACATTAAGTCTAAATTATTCGTATTATCCGGCGCAAACTGCATTTCCGTAATTGGAGCGTCCGCATCGTCGTCCTCGTTTTCTGAACCGTTTTCAGATGATAAAGGTAATGGCATATCTGCACAAATAAAATTACACAATTACATTAGACTTATCAAATAAATCCTTGAATTATAACAGTATGAACACGAATCGGAGTAAAATTGTTCAAAAGGTCCACAGAAATTAAGTCATCTTTATCAATTGATATTCTTTGTGTTCCAATGGATATACCTGGCAAGTCTACTTTGGCATCGACCATAATGTATAAACATTGTCTCGGATGGACCTGTTCATCTCGGGAAACAGCGTGCAATGAAATGTGAGGATACTCGAGCGAAAATCCCTGTTGGGTGTCGCTGTCCACCCAGGAGAGCACGCTGCCAATTAAGAATACATAATTAGAGCACACAAAATATCACATATCTACAAATTGTTCAAAACAGCAAATTAGAACAGACTCGCTACCTCTCCGTAATGTAAAACGTGCCCTTTCCCACTTCTCTACCATTGATATATACCGTAGTATTTGGCTCTTCGTGGCGAATTCCTTCCTGCGGCGGCAGGAAGCTGCTAAGTACCACCATATTTCAATCTGAAAACACAGGCATCGTTTAGTAGAGGCACGAACTGACTAATGCCTACGAGTCGACGATGTTTACGACTGCCAATCGCTGTTGCCAATAACAATGCAACAAAAATGAGCCATCAAGGCAAGAGTTATCTCGTCACGCTTGCATGTATGTGTCGTCACGCAAAAAAAAAACAGTAAATATACAAACATCGCGGATACTGCCGGATACTGAAACGATGTGATCCGAGGGCAGAATCGTGGAATACGTGCGTGACGGAGCGCCTCGCGCGTAAACACCTCCTCGTGGAGGAGAGGTCAGAGGAGCGGCGAACGCGCGCGCGTGAGAACGAGCCGCGGATCTCCACCCGCAACTCGTAAACACGGTGAAACACCGGTGTCGCACCGCTCGACACTCTCTAACCAAGCGACCAGAACTCACCGTTCTCGTTTACCCCGACGAGACAATTGCCTGCAAGCACGAACCGAACGGGAACGTTCGGCGGACGAGATCCCTCGCGACGCACGCGAAAGCGTATCCCCGGTTAGGCGGTTACTCGCGCTCGCCGTCGTCCGTCGTCGGCCCCACGAACGCGCGGCTGTCACGAACCGTCTGAAGTTGCCTACGACGGCTACGACCTGGCGCTGTGGCGCTGAGTGCAGCCTGCGTGCGACGCGACGCGACGTGCACCACGGCGCGCGCGCGCGCGTTCGTACGCAAATCCGCAATCCGCCGGATCCGCCCGTCGACCGTCGGTCGCTCGCCACGTCTAGTCGACAATAGACTCTATTTGCGCGTAAAATTAATAAGCTCCTAACAAGCTTAAATTTCAAAAGCTTAATTTCGCCGAATTTCGCGATTACTTGACACGCGTATATCGACAATTTTACGACGCTGCTCCGTTTGAGAACTTATTTATGCGCTTCCGTGAAAAAAAAAAAACGGTATAAATTAAAGATCGAATCAGTTTTCGCAGCCCCCATTTCCTTCCTTCTTCTCAACGTATGTGAAGAGATGGGAAAAGTTTATATTTTTATAACTCTTTACTGTTTGTGTTTAGTCGGGCGCAGCGTGAAGCGCGATGCGCTGCTATTTATTGATGCGTCGCGTCGCGCGCACGGCATGGTGGAGCGCACGTCGACCGCGACGCGGAATGCGGGGTACGGCGCTCGTTTTATTTAACGTTGCCGCGGCATGTTGCCTACGACCGTTAAAATGGCACGGCGCCGACGGAAGCGGCGACGGGCGACGGGCGTGTTTTACGCGAGATCGTCGCGCGGAAGAGGCGCGACCGTCCGTAAAACCTGTCCGACGCCGACGATGCGTTTCCGCGCGGGCGACGTAAATGAATAATTAATCTCTTTGGAAGCTCATTCGATTTCTGCCGAGCCAATCTTGCAACCTTGCCACCTGTCCGCGACTCGATAACGCGACTTTCGATAAGCGAAACTTCCAAGCCGATCGATAAACCGTTAAATATTAATTTTAATTTACGTTTTCCGCTCGGAATGTTCACGTTTGGATTCTCGGTCAGATAAATCGAATTTCGTAGAATATGTCACATACTTTACGATGAAAAGGTGTATCTTTTATAATTAAAAATACACCGGTGCTCTACTTATTAATTGCGCACGGTAAAAAGTAAAATAAGAGTGTCTAATAGCGTTTTTCACTGGCAGAGCTGGTGCGCACTCTGTGCACATTAAAAAGCCGTTGTACACTAATTTAAAATCTTTAATATTTAAAGTAAAATGCAAATATTTCGACTGATAAAATATCCAGTATATATTTTACTAAATATAGTGCAATAAAGAATATATTGAGGATTTTATGATTTAACCGCACCAGCTCTGCCAGTAAAAAACGCTATAAGTTATCGCTAGAATTCTCCTCAATTGTGCAAATAATTTCTCCGAGTGTTTATTTTTTCGAGCTAGATATGAATCACAAGGATAACTGTAACAAAACAAAATTAAGCTTGGAATTTATACTCCAGTTGATTAGATTACGTAATTGACGTTAATTAACGTTGGTCGATGTTGCCCACGCGAATTATTATCTACGCCGTATAATTGATAACCGGTTATAGAAGGAAATTCTAACTATAATTACAATTCATAATATAATTAATACAATTGCTAATAATTAATGATTTACAATTACACAGTTAATTGTATGACATTGCTGTTTTATCGACAGAATGAGAAAGTGTTTCGATTAATTGCCACGAAAACATAATGGCAGCACAATACAATGTGCTAATCTTAACCTCAACTTAAACCTAACCTCTAACCTTAAAATCGTTGATAATCGTAGCTGAAAGATCCACGTGTATGTTTTGCACTGGCTTGGAATGCCTCGCGATTATTGATTTTTCGCTTAATGTAAGCGAAAACATTTTAAATGGAAATTAATGTTAATTGTTGATCGAGAATATTCATATCAAAGATATTAAATATATAAGTAAGAATTATCCGATTGAACTGACATACAGCGTGTACAATATAAATGCCGGCAGTTTTTTTTATCGTTAATTTTTACTGTGCATATGTGATATATATGAATTATATTTACAAAGAAGATGAGCTTATTTGTTATAAACAGGTAGGAAACATATAAATCTTGTTAAACGATCATGATGCATAGGATATAATAATCTTTTGTGCAAATCATTATTCATTAATTTCACTTAAGAATATGTGTATTGTATACAGATACGAGGGTGAAAGCAAGAAGGAGGTTGAAAATGAAACGAATCACCTTTCTGAACTGCTGAAGAAGATAGAAGAGCGTAAAAGACAAAGGGTTGGGGCAAATAATAAATCCACATTAGATGACGATGGAAATAATTTGGAGGAACCTAAGAAAAAGAAAAAGAAAAAATTGCTTAAAGCAGAGAAAGCTGATGATTCACATATTGAGGGTGAAAATGCCAGCAGTGAGAAAATTGTAGATGAACAAATTGTAGAAACAGCCAAAGTATCAACGAAAAAGAAGAAAAAGAAGAAGAAGAAAGATATTGAGAGTGAACACCATTCTGCTACAATAGACAAAAATATAGATTTAGAAGAAAAGGATGAAAATTTAGCACAGGACAATAATGACGATAAAGATACTACAGAGAAGGAAATACCTTCGCAGAGCAATTTCATAGTACTAGGCGCAAGAGCTCGAAAAAAGCAGCGTGAAGTGAAGAGAGTGTTACCAGATTGGCTGGCACATCCTGAAGTTATATCTGCTGACTTAAACAGTGGTTCTACCTTGGAAGAATTGGAATCAGTTTTGGATGCTAAATTGATGGAAGTCTTGAGGACCAATGGCATTACTAAGTTATTTCCAGTCCAATGTAGTATAATAAAATGGTTACACAAGTGCAAGATGGATAGGAAATTGGGATGGTGGCCAAGAGACACTTGTGTATCTGCTCCAACAGGCAGTGGTGAGTATTTACAATAATGATAATAATTATATGTGATATGATTATTGATTATTGATTGAATTAACATACATTTTTAATGTTATTTTATATAATTTTATTATAGGCAAGACTCTAGCTTATGTGTTACCAATTGTACAGGAATTACAAACACGATCGGTACCGAAAATTCGCTGCTTGATCGTCCTACCAGTGCAAGAACTGGCCGCACAGGTTCATAAAGTAATGGTCGCTTATACTTCTCACACGAATCTGAAAGTAGGCTTGCTTTCGGGTGCGTTTTCATTTGAGCGAGAGCAAAGCGCTATAATTAAGAAAAGTATGTATATTACCACCAATTATTAAACAAAAATTAAATAGATAACTATGAAAATTTAGTAAAATTATTTATAAAGCTGAAAGGGGGAAGTACTTATCCACGGTGGACATTGTAATCGCGACGCATGGTCGCTTATTGGATCACATATTAAAGACACCTGGATTTTCCTTGGATTCTCTGAGGTTTCTCGTTATTGATGAAGCCGATCGTGCAACAGAATGGCTACAGTATTTACCTGAACCTCATTCTCGGGCTCCTATTTTGACGCTTGGAAACATGCGCTCGAGGTTAATTTTTTTTTAAATTTTATTAAAAAATTAATAAAAAAAATAATTTTTTCTAATAAATTAATTTATCATTTTTCAACAGCAAAATTATACCAGCTCAAAAGCTATTATTTAGCGCAACCTTGTCGCAAGATCCTGAGAAGTTGAGCCGGCTAGGTCTTTTCCAGCCAAGATTGTTCACAACCGTAGTAACCGATAAAGACACTGATGTGAATTTAGACAAACTCGCGGGTGATTTTGTCGGACGCTACACAAGTCCAGGAGAACTGACGGAACTCGCGGTAGAATGTTCCTCCTATGACAAACCAATAGTCTTGTATCAGCTGTTGACGAAACACGATGTCATTCCTAAGACTCTCGTTTTCACGAATTCCGGACAAACCGCGCATAGACTGGCGCGTTTGATGCAATTACTCTTGTCAGAACGGAATGTTACAGTGGGAGAATTATCCGCCCAGCTCGCGTCAAAGCAACGCGAAAGTGTTCTGGGCAAATTCGCAAACGCAGAGATACATGTGTAAGTTTTGCGCTTTGTTAAAGTAAAATAATTCTAATTGTACAGGAAAAAATATTTTTGTCTTAGAAATAAAACATTTCTTATTCTAATTCTAGTTCTAGAAAAATGAGATAATAAAATAACGATATATCTTACGAATGTAAGAAAGAAAATAGTTTAGCTTTAATAGTTTAATTAATCTTGATTATTCTTTTCAGATTAATAAGTTCGGACGCGCTGGCTAGAGGCTTGGACATTCTGGATGTGCAACTAGTCGTGTCTTACGATCTCCCGAAGCACATCAAGGGCTATATACACAGAGCTGGTAGGACCGGGAGGGCAGGAAAACTGGGCACCGCGGTGTCCATACTTACAGCGAATCAGGTCGGGATATTCAAACAAATGTTAAGCGATGCACATAAAACCGTGCCCAACATCGAACAAATGGAGCTGCATGCCACTGCAAAGGTCAATTATCAGAATCACCTTGAGAAATTTAAGGAGATTCTCGAGAAGGAAAAGAACGAAAGCCTGGAACGAACGAAGGCCATTAAGCGTAGACGTGTGACAAATTTCACCAAGCAAAATGGAAGTATAGAATAATATTTTACGTGAAAAGAGAAATAAAAGGATGTACACAAGCTTATTTGCGTGATACTTGCGTAATATCAAGTTACCTTCCAAAAATCCTGTACAATGATAGAATTAATATTTATTTAACGGTTGACATGTCAAGCTTTCTATGCTGTAAAAAGGTGCTGTAGAAGAAACATATCAAATACAGATAATAGGGTAACATCGATAATAACATTTTATTGTCTGAAGTTAATAGTATCGTACATCATGCTCATTCCCTATGATTCGTTCTATGGGTAGTCGCGATATATCTTGTTTCGAATTGTTACTAGTTATTACTCCCATTGTTCTTTATTCCGTCGAAGGCAATGTATTCACAGTTTTAATTTACAAAAGGTAAACGACGTCGCATTTACGAATAACGATGCAGACACAAGTTATTTACTATTATTGCTGTGTATGGCTTCATTGCTCGGAATTGATCGCGCACTGAATTACTCTTCAATATGCAATGTTACAGAGATGATTCACTACAATTTTCTTTCACTCAATTTTTTAAGCAAATTGTTGACAAATTTCACGGCATTTCTCGATTTTCGCGGAAGTAGCCACAGCGCATAATCGCAAAAGCGATTGGAGATCGGTATTAAATTGAATTACAAGTTACAAAAATATCTTTTGAATTAAATTGAAAAAAAAAAAGAATAAACCGAGATAAACGGATATCGAATATTTTTTTTTTTAAGAAGTTACTTCTATTTATACGGCAATACTGTCTGTAAAGTTTTCAAAAGTGAACAGTATGAAAAAACAATCACTTAATACGCGGCTCTGATTAATCAGTTTCACATTTAATCGCAAGTAACATTTCTCACATTTATATACATGCGTTTGACGTTTACATTTTGCGATATCTTTTGCCACATCAATATACAACGTGTAAATTCTGATTTTGGTATAAACCGTTGTGCGTTTTCTCTTCGGTGTCGCATTATTTTCACATGACATATTCAATTACACGAATCCCGCCAAAGTTCAGGCACCCTCAAACTTGTAATTCAAACTTCGGGCGTGTTCAAAGCCCGTCGGGATTGTTGTAATTTCGTATTGTGTGCAACTGCAGTCTCGTCGAGTTGAATTAAATCGCACGGACGCTGAAATACGGACACTGACCGTTCAGATACTGTCGATTTCCCGAAAACAAGCTCTCTTAAGTCACTGTTCAATCAAGACTCATAGATTTTGATCTGATTAACGCATCGTTAACAATCACAAACAATCGTGTGTTGTACTTCGTTCGCTGAAAATCGGAGACGGATTGCCCTGATAGACAGGTCGACCTTTACTTTTCCCAAGGATTTCGAGCGAAAGTATTCGCGATTGATAATCACTTTTTTTTCGTACAGAAAATTTAATGACTTAATATGGGGACACCTTCATCTCAAATTTTGCATATTCGTAGCCTTAGGCCTTCGCGACTCCCCCAATTCACCCGTAGATTCGTTAATAATTAGCAATCAGACTGCTATGATGGATATGGAGCAAAGATCGGCAACCTGTCGCATATCGGTTATATTCAATTTTATATATAAGAGAAAATTTTATACAATATACATAACATGTGAAAGTCCGATATAAAATACTGAATAAGAGAATAAGGATAAAGAAAAGCATATATAAATATGTAAGAAAGATAACAAACTATGTACATCAAACGCTCAGAAAATTCAATAAACATAAAGTTTAAAAAACATTTAATAAAGCTAAAGGAAACTTGATTAAACGTGAATTTAAATATATTTTACGTCTTTGACAAAGTCGCAAACGTAAAAGAAATTTTTTAATTTCAAGCATTTTCTTGTAGCAAAGTTTAAATTTAAAATTATATGATAAAAATTTTGGTAAAAAGCTTAAATTCAGGATTATATAATAAAGTTTTTGAGAAACTGAGTTTCTCGGAAATTTATATAAGTAAGTTTATACACGCAAATGAAGAGATCTCTTCCGATTGCCGATCTCTTCCCAGCGAAGCTGTTGACATTTCTCAAAAGTTTAGCAGCTCGATGAAAGCATCCGCTCGGACTTTCGTTGTCTGAACTTCTAATGCGAACGAGCAAGATTCACACTTACTTACATCTAATGTATGTATATGTAACTGTACGTGGATACACGTATCGTGCGTATAGGCACGACTTATTTCTCATGTTCATTATGTTACATTCGCCTTACGAACCCGATTTCTATATATATATCATATCATTTTACAAAATCTAGTCTCGTTCGAGGGTACGCCGAATCGAACGAATCCTAAACGCTTACCTCGAAAATCCGAACGTCCACACACAGCTTCTGTGTTTATTTACACATATGTATTCGTCAATATGTAATACGAGCGTATGTACATACATTAAACGTGGTCCTATATGATTCATATGTCTCGTTGCCGTGTATATGTATTTTTTTTTATTTTTATAATACTTAACGCCGATGAATTTTTGCCGCGTTCTTCTGACAGCATACCTTACAATAAAGGGATATTCAACAGGTTTTGTCTAATAGGACTTCATATTATGAAAAAATGTACATTATGTATATATTGCATATACAGAATGTATAAAAAATGCGCGTTCTTCTCAGATTACATTTATTACAGATCAAATAGAAAGAATCGTTAGCTCTAATTTTCTTTTAATAATTTAACAAATAAAAATTTGAGGACAAAAATAGATAATGAAGTACATTCTTTAATCGATGTTAAATTTAATTTAACCAAATTTTTTTTCTTTATTGAGCACGCAACAACTAGAGAGAAGATATGTGCACGATATATTTTTTTATATACCCTGCATATTTTATATGAAGTGCGCCAAGCAAGTCTGTGATGTGCTTAAAAACTCGCCGGATTTTCCGCAAAGTGCCGCCATTATCGCTAAGTGTACATATTTAGATACAATAATATATTATTTACAATACAGGATCGATCCCTTGAACTATACAATAAAGGCATTAACGCAAACGAATGATAAAAAAATACACTTTATACACCTAATAATACATGTTCGCATTTTCATTACAATCAATTGATTTAACGGCATTCGCACGAATGTCAGTTATTCGGTTGAATAATTGACGGTAATAACGCCACATAATCGTTTAAGCTTTAAGCGCAATTAAATCAGTACGAGTTTCGCGACAAATCTCACGGGTGGGATATTTCCTGAAAGAATTCAACCGGGAAAGCGCAATTATTAAATCGCCGGCATTTTCTAGCGAGCTTTTAAGCCGAATAAATGTCCGATCTGACGAGACTTCACTATACCGTATTTATTGTCGTGCCCTCCGCTCTGCGTACGGACTACAGTATACGTCGGCTCATCTAATCGTAAAAGTGCACCGACCGAATTAAGCCACGCCAATTTGCGATAGTCGAGCGCACATTTAGCCTGCCCGACCAGTGCTCTGGTCGCGACAGATGCTCGTGGAAAGATAAAAAAGTATCGTGGAAGACGAAACGGGGCCGCAAAACGGTCGCCAGCGAAACGGGGGGAAGGGGTCAAGAACCTGAGCGAATCTCGAATAAATCTCATCTTGACAAAGCTTTTGCGTCTTATCGATCCTTTGCATTTTGTATCGATACACTTGCAATGTATTGCTGTCAACAGTAACAATGACAGCAGACAGTGATTCAGGAAATTATGTATGCACCAGAGTAACTCACAAGAGAGGCTCCATGGGACCCGTCAGATGGATCAATCAATCCACGTTATCGCACCTCGGATACTGCTCAATTACAGAAAAGCTCACGAATTTTCGCTGTCTATATATCTAAGTAGATTCTTTGCTACAAATATGGGTATAATATAAAAAAAATGTAATGTAACAAAGTAAAGATTATATTTGACATTTGTCGAGAATGAAGTTCGAGTCTTTTTAATTTTTATGCTAATCTCAATTGTTAACGTTCGTGTAAAGTAAAAGGAACAATTTATGTCCTGGAATACGTATTTATTTTCGTATCTTTCGACCCTAAGCAGCAAGAATACGTACACTGATTTGCGAGAATTCTTAACGTCGAAATTCGTGCATCGCGTAAACTTCGTGTTTATTTCGATAAAAACGTCCCTCATAAAACGAACTGATGTGAAACAATTTTTCCGATAAATAGCGTTAAAAAACAAGATTGTGTTATTCTTCAATCCGTCTATTTCGATCTACAGATTTGTTTGCTTCCTGCTTCAGCTTTTTGCGAAGGTCTGTCGAACGGTTAAATTCAATAGCCACGACGAGGTCTACACGAACTCTGCAGTATGCAGGATGTCGGCACGAAGAACTCATCTCGTGGTTCCAGCACATTCGCACACCCCTCGATGTTATCTCCTTTTTCCGAGCGTTCGCCGTGTCGATCGGGCGATGCACGAACTTGTTTGACCTGTATTTTATCTACAGTCCGATTAATCGCCGGTTACGTCTAAACGAGAGAAAAAGAGAAAGAGAGAAAGAGAGAGAGAGAGAGAGAGAGAGAGAGAGAGAGAGAGAGAGAGAGAGAGAAAGAGAAAGAGAGGTAGAGCCTCTCTAACGCACATGTGTTGACATCGTGTCGCGCATATTTACAGAGACCCTGTCGAAAGTTTCGACGCGCGGTCTTTTTGGTCGCGGCAGGTGACTACACATCCGATCGCATCTAGAAATACATTCTTATTATATCGAATAAAGGGAAGACCTATTTCTTTCTTTTTTTTTTCGTTCTTCAGCGTGGTTTCGCACCCTCCGTCTCATCCTCTCGACTCTATTCCCATCGCGAGCCTCAAGTCCTCAAACAGTGCTATAGAAATATTTGTAGAAAAAGATAGGATTTGCAACTGCACCAATTTAATGAAATAGAAGAAAAGTTTAAAACCTAATATGAAATCATTTGGTGATTTTATAACATTTTTATACAATTATATATTTTTGCATTTAATGTAATTTTTTAAATGATATTTAATTTAAAAATGTCTAAAAGATACTAGCGTATTTTCAATAGATTTTTATTTGCAAAATCTTAGAAGCACTGTCGTGAGATCTAAATGACTTGAAAGCACACACAGAGCCATTTTCTCTTCTGTATATATTTTGACCGAATTTATTCATTCCTCATTTATATTTATACAATCATCGCCAGAGGGACTGACCTACCCAGATAGGATTGTCGCGTACGCACGGCGCGTCCCTTTGCGTTACTTTTAGGCG